CTCCATTTAGAGTCCCCATTGAAGATGCTCGCTTTACAATAATTCCACAAAACTACTTTCCTCTTATTCACCAAGGTATTGAAAATCCTAATGTAGCCCCTCTAACCTATAAAAATAATTTTATCAATAATATAATTTCCAAAAGTGAATATCTTTTTAAATGACCACTGAATTTGGGATGAAAGTTAATCCTTTATAACGAAGGAACTCAACACATGCTTCAATAGGTGAGATGTTATGATAAAAAAAATCAATATTATTTGAACAAGTGCTTACACCAGAATCATGGGTCCTGAGTTTGGGGCTACATCTAGCTTTTCTAATTCATATTGTAATCTAATCTAAACTATAGGGAGGGAAATTTGAACTTTGGGTGCAAGTTCAATGGGAAGCATAATGCTCTAGCCAGATAATAGTACCATGTCTCCAGCAAAAGAGACTACTCAAACAGCCTTTTTGTAATAAAATTGCTGATATAAATTTCAATTGATCCAATCATTACATCCAGTCTAATATTACAAATTTATAACATCCACTGATCCCATTTGAAGAATCAAGGTGAATAACCATTCTAATGAAATCACCAATGAAACCCCCTTTTATATATATATATATATATATATATATATATATAATAGGGTAGTATTAATAATTTCTGCTAGCAATCACAGTCTATGATAACGGTAGGATTACAGAACTGTTTCTTGCTGCCATTAGCTCAAAATGACTTCTTAGGTATTCCTTAGTAGACTGGTTCTTCGCCTACAAATGTAATGAAATTCCAGCCAAAAGCTTAACCACCAACAATATACGTCCCTTGAGTCTAATATAAGGATGGGAAATAGTTATGACAGGCAAGTAGTCGCGGTTATTTATCCATAACCGTTTAAGCGTATACCCGCAAAACCATTTACCCGTTGGGTAATTGTGTAAACGGTTATACACATACACGTTGGGTAATTGTGTAAACGATTATACATATACACGTTTATAAACGGTTAACTTTAACCATAACCGTGTACCCATTTAACTGTAATTGCATACCCATTTACCCATTTATCCGTTTACCCCGTTTATCCTTTTTACTCATTTACCCTTTTTTTATCCATTTATAGGTACATTTAATATGCATTTTCGTATTTCAATCTTTTATGTCCTCATACCATTTTAATATGTTTATTTTTTTGGTCAAATGATAGATTTTGTTAGATTAGATGTTAGATTAGTCACCGACGTGGTTCGAACCCACGCCGTCATGCAAGAACTCAACATCTTTCCACCAATGCGGTAAAAGACCACTTGCATACCATTTTAATAATTGAAATTATAGTTTACGGATGATATTTTTAGTTGTTATCAATGAACATAATATAATAAATTTGCTAAGAATTGATTTGTTTCCTAGACCAATGAACGATATTTTTAATAAATTTGCTAAGAATTGAGGAGAAATATCAACACAAGGGCAGAAATGCTACATAATTTGCAGCAATCTCAAATATCACCATGCCTTTATGTTTTATGATCTACTCAGGTTCATCAATGCATTTTTAATAAATTCCCCCCAGCTTTCATTTGTAATTTGGTATTATTTCCATTCTAGTATTCGTATAACATCAGATGAGTTCAAAGATGTTAGCAAATATATTAAAATAAATAGTTAAACGGGTTTATAACCACGGGTAATACTCATAACCATCAATTTAAAATTTACAGGTAAACAGGTATACCAATAACCGTTTATTTTTTAAATGATTATCCATAACCGTAACCGTGAGTTTTAAATGAGCGGATAACCACGTTACCCTACGCGTGGGTATTTTGGCCATCCCAAATCTGACCATCTTCAGACCATCTCCAAAGGAGATGTCAAATCCTAGGTGGCATTCCATGTAATCAAATTTGAAAGTAGAAGTGAGCTCCAACCGATATGTCAATCCTATGTGGATTGACATATGAGTTTTCATACGTCAAATTTGACATATGAGAAAAGGCGAAGTCAATTTTTTTAAATTATTTTATTATGTGGGTTCTATTAACGCACCAATTATAGATCTTAAAAAATGTATTTTAATTGATTTCTTTTTTAAATAGGTCATACAAATATCATTTATAACAAAGAAACATATCGGTTGGAAAAAGAAAAAAAATTGATATTGTCACATCAACTATCAAATTAACATTTAACATTTATCTTTTAGCATCTCCTTTGAGATACCCTCAGTCCACTGCTTCTCGCTGGCTACACACAGAAGAAGTAGTTCAAAGATTTAGGGAAAGTACTTGAGAGTGATTACATCCACAACCCTGATAGACGAACAATCCAAGAACCAACATTTATAAATTTTCAGATTAAATTTTTTATTTTTTTATTTAAACTCCATTCCAACTTGTACTATAGACGGATTGTGCATGTCTAAGGTGCGGACAAAGGGTGCGGACCATCCGTGCGAACGATGATCTGATGGATGAGAAGGAACAAGCTCACAAGTAGAACCAGGTTGTTGTAACCCAGTGCAATAAAAAAAAATTTAATTTTTCATTGAGTTGGTATCTTTTGTTTGTGAGAGCCTGAGAGGGAAACAGGGAGCAAGAGGGCCTGAAAAGAGGGGTTCTTGCTCCAATTGAAGAGAGAAAGAGAGGGAGTTGGAGTTTGGAATGGATTTTAGGTGGATTAAAACTGAGTTGCGGCTGTGACCATGTAATCCTATAACTTTAATTTTGTTTTTTTTTTTTTGTTTTTTGTTCAGTTGATTTGTTTTTCAACGGCGAGAGAGGGGGAGAATAGGATTGTCTTCGACAGGAATTGAAAACCCCATTCCAATTTGTACTGTAGACGAAACAACTTGCGGTTGTTGATTACGGGCTTTCTTCTGTGGCCCAAATAAATGTGTAGTTTCTCGGCCCTTCAAAACTTAATTCTCTTTTTGGGCCGTATGTGATTTCATGAGTCCCAATATTACTACAACCTTCAAGGTCTTGGTTCTTTAACTCACGAGAGTTCTGAGGCTATTTCAAAGGCTTCCATCTCCATTCGCTCATCGAGAGAGAGGGAGTTTTGGATTGGCTCAAGACGCAGACAGCGAAAGAACCCGTTGTTAATTTGGTTCAATAGGGAAGCTTTTAATTTCGAGGTTTTGGGTTTTTGGGGTCTAGGTCGTGCTGTTTTTGTCAATTTCAGCTTCGCCAAGCTGCCTCAGGTGCAAGCATTTGATCTCCGAAGGCCCGGCGTTGCAGATGATTGGCATCCAAAGAGAGAATATAATTTTGGATATAGAAATTGACCAATTAATCAGGTACTTATAAGGAGGCCAATTCGACCATCGATTTCTAGAAAAAGTACATTTTGATTCTGGTTATTGATGAATTTTTTTATTTTATTTTTCTGTTCAGTTTGGAGATGAGAATGTGGAGTTGTTTTCTATGGCGGTTATGAGTTTGACGATTTTGGGGCTAGTTTTGGCTATAAGAAAGAATTAGAGTGTTACTTTGTTAAGTTGAGTTAGGAGGATGGCGGTCTTGAAAATTAAAAAGGGTTAGCGCTATTGTAATGGCACTTGCATTTGTTTTGAACCTACAAAATATTTGGCCGTTTTCGGTACTGAAATCCGACGACCTGAGAGTATCGAATGAGTTGGTGCGCAAACTCTGAATACCTGAACGCACGAAACAATTTGTTTACGCAGTTCGTGAGCTTGAAACTCAGTCTGTAATTTGCATGCTTTTTACTCAAAGTTTATCTGAGTAGCAACGGATGCCGATTGTCTAATTTGCATGTTTTTTGGAGAAGGTTAATAAGGAGAGGATGAAGATATTGCAGGAAGCTTGGTTTTACAAGAGATTTTTGGGGTTGGTTTCATGGACATTTTTTGGCAGCCACGAGGGTGGCTCAGGAGGTTGGATGATCATTCTTGGTGCTTGAATTGCCATTTGTAAAAAGTTTTGGTGCGGAGCATACCCAGGTGAACTTGAAGCAGTGAGCAAGTTCCAGGGTTGGTTAGTGGTTTGGTACCACAGAAAGTGGGTGCAGTTGCTGGGTCGAAGTCGATGAGGTTATATCCCTGTATATTGATTTATCAATATCGAGGCTAAGTCCATCAACTTCTGTTTTTGAGGTGGCGTCAAAAGAAATTCAGCTGCAATCCAATTATTAGGCCCCACAGTTTGCTCAGTCGATTTATCCATTTATTTAGATCTACATACTATTATTTTCTGATCTCCCGGCAATGGGAAAGGCTTTAGCTAATGCTCAAAAGATGCTCTGCGATGTGAACAGAGGTGAAGCTGTAGATACCAATGTTATATTTGAAGCCTATGCCTTTCAGATTGCAGTCGAGGGGCTGAGAATTTCTATGAACAATGCTGGTCACCTTCCCACTAATAAAATAAGGGATCCGAACTTAAATCAGGTTGAGTTTTCTGATCTTCAAGTTAAGGACAAGGCACATGCTCTGCTGGTAGAGGCCCTTCGTGGCCAGACTAAGAAGTTCAAGACCGTAGTGGCAGTAGTGGATGTTAGTGGCTTAGCATGTCTTAGAAAACACTGGAACACTCCTGTCCCATTGGAGGTCAAAGGATATGGTTGGAAAGATTGTTATTAATTGTGAAGGTGAGAGGTCAAAGGATATGGTTGGAAACACTGGAAACGACTACTAACTGATTAACCTTTGTTGGCAGTAGAGGCAGGGGTAACAGCAGTTTTAGGAGCATCTCCACTCTCCAAAGCTGCGACACTCAAGGTTCCTGCTTCAACCTTGATGAAAGTGGTGACTTTCACAGTTCCAGCTTCCCTTAAACTCTTCCTAAGCCAAACCCATAAGACGGTGGGATTTTCTCTTAGTAAGTGTCAAATCAACAACTTTACTGAAAGCAACTGCTTCTGCCGAGAAGATCCGAGTAGCTGCTCATAGTGTTATAGCTGCTGCAGAGAATACTAGCTTTTCAGCCATGAGCACAGCATTCTATCAAATAATGAGGAAACGACACATCTGGAAAATTGGTGTTCTTCACTCCAATACAGGCACTGGTTGAATTTTGTTATATGTTGCATAAGGCAACTCCAGGCGCCAACGGGATTGCAAGAAAGTGGCATACTAAGAGTCTGTTTGTTTGTTTGTAACTTTAAGAGCGTTTTGATGACTAGGATTCTGATTAAGTTTTGACAGTTCCTTTTCGAACTTGCCTTCTTACACTAACAATTTCCATCCCACTCCTGTCCAACCCTCACTCATCATTGTTGTCAATGCTCGCAAACCTAGTACTCACTTCTCTCTCACACGTTTTGGTACTTAGCTTTGATTGCAAATTATATATATTGTACGCTATAACATATATTAACAATTGTAAAGAAATTCTGGACCTTTAATTTGGAAAAACCAATAGTAAGAGTTGGTCTTTGTGTCCCAAACTGAAAGTGGGATAAACATAGAGGGAGTTTGAAAAAGCGTCCAATCCGTCAAAGAAATAGTGGCTTTCAGTCTAACGTTGATTGGGATCTCAGAGAGACTGTAATGGATTCTAATGGCATCAGTTAAAATTTCTAATACAAGGTGAGCTTACACTGCCTTTGGATCTGTTTTTTGTGCCTGTTTCTCTTTGCTTTAGTGCTTTTTGCTCTTTTATGGGAGATTCATATGGAGCCTATTAAGGTTATCGTTTCTGTATAAATATATTTCTCAATTCTTATATGGTGTCTGGTGGTTGTTAGGGAAGCAGGTGCAGTTCACGTACAAGCAAAGGTGGAGGCTGTGTATATGTAGGGATACCGTCCCAAGAAAAGGTAAGTTTGCGATTTTTCGTCTCGAGTAGAACAAATCCATGTAAACGGTGTAATTTTCTGCCTATATTTTAATTTGAGTTAATATGGTGCTTAACTAACAACGTGTCGATAAGTTCAAGTAAAATCACTTTCAATGGGTTCATTCATCTTTATGAGCAACTTTTTTGCACAAGTGATATTGGAGAGTGGGGAATCGAACTCAGGACTTTGGGTGTTAGAATTTCGTTTCAGTTTCTGTTTTTAACTTTTTACATGTAGCGCATTGTTGAAGATGGACATTATTCTCATGCGTTCATGGATTCGAATCTCTACATTTTGTGCCCAAAAGATTCATATCTTCACCAACTTCACAAAGATGCTAAATGCTAAATCATGATTTGTATCAAAACATTCTGTATTTTCTTTTATTTTTATGGTAATTTTAAGGATAAATCGAGATTAAATACGAAATCGTATCCGGGCGTAACTTATTAATTTTGTATAGAAACGGTGCCGTAAAGCTAGCTAATGATTTTATTGTTACTTAGTTTAATAATCCTCGACTCCTGGGATGTTTTTAATAGATTAATGGTAGATTGGTTGTCTATAAATAATAAGCAAATAAATAAAAACAAACACCGTTACCATCACAGGGAGAGCCTTTTCTCCTCTTGTTCTATATGGATTTTTGAGCTATTTTTTCAACTATTACATTCTTTTTCTCTTTTTTTTTTTGCGATTTGGGTTTTGTTTAGAATTCAGTTCTATGGTTTGTAAGGCAAAAAGGTTGGATCTTGTGGGGATTTTGATCTGATCAAGAAAGGGAAGAAAAAGACGTAGAGTGAAAGAAACCCAGAAAAAAAGGGTTGAGCATTGGAGAAGCAGCTGAAAGGTTTTACAGCTTCATTTTTTTTATTTTTTATTTTTTTCTGGGCCAACTGAAAAAGTGCTTATTCGGTTTTTGGTGCTTATTGATTTTCTGGCCAGCTGTGAATCTTTTGCTTTACTGGGTTTTGGTGATTTCAGCTTCCCCAAGTTGGTTGAGGTACTAGAAGAACTTTTAAAGTTGTTTCTGGTTCATTGCATTATTATCTAGTACTAGTTTATTGGATGGAGAGAAAATGCTAATGGCCGATGTAATCATAATGTTTTCATGATAAGTTTATAGTCGAGTTTATTTCTTGGTATTGTGATTATAAGGAAATGGGATTCAGTAGATAATTTCTACTTTGATAAATTATCAGGAGGTTTTGAAGTTTAGTTGGGGTGGTTTTGTTTAGAGGCAGAGATTGAAAAGGGGATTTGCAGTTCAAGTTGATACGTGTAATGTGAGTGACATTGAGATGGGGGTTCAATGCTCCAAACTCATACCATGTTGCTTGAATTCACATACGAAGGCAGCGGTTCTCGAAGCTCCTGACATTGGTGGGTTAATATCTATGTTTCTTTTGTTTTTGCGTTTTATGTTTTGATGGAGAAACAGATCATATCTGATGCTTGTGGATGGTTTACCTGTAATACAGATGATGAGGAGAAGAGCAAGGTTGACAACTTGCCTGCATTTTGTGAATTCACGTTTGAGCAACTTAAAAATGCGACATCTGGTTTTGCTGTCGAGTACACTGTGTCTGAGCAAGTAGAGAAGGCTCCAAATGTTGATTATAAAGGGAAACTCGAAAATCAGAAGAGAATTGCTGTTAAGCGCTTCAATAGGATGACCTGGCCTGAATGCTCGGCAATTTTTGGTAGGCATCCTTTAACTTGGTACTTTTCTATCTCAGAATGATATAATTCAGATACTTTGGTGATGAAAACTGGTCTGCATTTTGTAAGGCTTGCATCACATCTTTTCCATTGTAAGGCGTACTCATACTAATACGAGGTTTTTGGTTACTGATCTATGTTGTACTCATTTTTAATGGTTGGATACTGGATCCATTTAGTGTTGCAATTGCCTCTGCTTAATAGTTTCACTTTGTCTCACTGATGATTTAAGTTTGGGTTTTTCATTCGGAAGGGATATATTGGCATATTAAGCATCACATTTATTTAATAAATGAGGGCTACGTTATGTTAGAACTTGTGGATGCGCTTTATCACGACCTCCTTTGCCTGATTGAAAAAAGTACGGATGGGAAGAGTTATAGTACAAATCTGGCATTTACTCCTCCTGAATATATTAGGACTGGTGGGTAGATCGTGGAAAAAAACGGTGTTTTTGCTCCAAATAACTCATTCAAATTTATGATTTACTTGACAAACATCCTTTAAGTATGCTGTTCAGCAATTATTATACACCGCAGATCCCTTGTTTTGCAGGGAGAGTAACACAAGAATGTGCAATATATAGATTTGGACTCTCTTGATTGATCTTCTCAGCGGAAAGCGTATCCCCTCTAGCCATGTAAGTTACTCTTTTACCTACGATAAAATATAGTTTAAATTCAATTGTTATGAACTCTGCGTGAGGATTTATCCTTCTTAGGATATGTAAACACAAGTAAGTAAATTTATTCATCTGGTGGTTGATCATTTTGTCCCATGCCCTAGACCTGATTCGAGACAGAAATCTTCAGATGCTGACAGATTCTTGCTTGGAAGGACAGCTTTCTAATGATGATGGTACTGAGTTGGCACGCTTGGCTTCACTATGTTTACAATCTGAACCCCGAGAGCTACCAAATCCAAAGTCATTAGTTGCTTCTTTGACTCCTCTTCAGGAAGAAATTGAGGTTGGTTCTGTCTCCTTTGTTTCTCTTATTAAGCATTCTATTCCCAACTTTACTCGGGGAGCATAGTTTGACTGCTTAAAATCTTCACACAATTGTTTGTAGATCTATAGTTTAGGGCAGTCTTGTAAGCAATATAGTCATACGTTATCTTCTTTTCACTGGACACAATCTCAGCTATTTGTGTAAGTTCGTATCCACCGATTTTTTATTTGTTGTAATACTGAACCTTGTACCAAGCGGAAATTATTTGAAAATTTGGGAAAGGGGCATGACACTAATTTGTTATTAGTGAGGACTTGAGAGAGCTACACTTTTGTTTAGTGCCTTTCATGGTGAATGATACTCTATAAAATATGAATCTCTATGCCCTGAAACTGTGGGTCGTTAACTACAAGGGTTTTCATTGATACCGTACTTGTTGGGTGCCAATTAGAAACAATCAGATCTGCACCATCGTAGTAGTAAGTAGTTTAATCAAATATAGATGCTTAACTTGATGCTGGTAGCTATATCTGGTTCCTTCTTTTGTTTTGATGGGTATCCCACACGGTACCTCCTGGTCTTCTCTTTCACCACTCGGTGAAGCCTGCTCAAGAAGGGATTTGACTGCTATACATGAGATCCTAGAGAATATCGACTACAAAGACGATGGAATGACAAATGAGGTTCTATATTTGTTTAACTAATGGAGAAATATCTAATAAGTTGTGTTGTATACATATTTAGCCTTCCCAATAGTTACGTTCCACTGCAGCTCTTTTCCAAATGTGGACTGACCAAATGCAGGAACCATTAGAATCAAAGAAAAAGGGGGATTCTGCTTTTAAGCACAAGGACTTCAGAACCTTAATTGAGCAATTCACAGGTTAGGTTCTTATTATGATACTTGTGGGAAATTCTGAGTAGAGCTGGATAATAGTTACTTTCATGTCCATGCCGATATCCGAATTTGGCCTTCAATAGGATGTTCTTTAACTGACCTGTTAAATTAAATTACTAAACACAGCTTCGTACGAAATTTTGTTTGGTTTAGATTTCCGGTCAGAATATGATTGTTACATCTTATCTTCTAATTCTTGATAGTAAGAAACAAGATTGGTAGTTTAAGGTACCTTAGAGTATCTGAACCTAGTAACTCCACTTCCATGACCGATAAAAAGAACAAAACTGAAAGAAAAAACAAAAAAGGTAAATCCTTAATTGCTGCTTTCTCTGCATTTGTTATCGTTGCCGACAGTCTTATTTCGCTTGCAGTGTGTATTGTATTTGAATTGTTTTATTTGATTTGATTTCTTGTGCGTCTTATGATTCGAATATATGAATTACCTTGACAAAATGGAAAGAAAAAATAGAAAGTTGTAAAAAACAGTGGTAGGGAGGATGTCGTTCAGAAGCTTGTAATTTATGTACAGAAAGCATATAGGATTCCTAGTGTTTTATTTCTGATGAAGAAAATAATAATTAGTTCGTCAAACATCGTCTGACCGTTGTTAGACATAGATATATTACTACTTGGATATAAAAAATAAAATAAAAAGGTTAACCCTACTGCAACCAATCCATTGAACTAAAATTTACGACGAATAAAAAAATCATATGCAGTCCAAAATTAACTGAATTTCTTCAGTATATATAAACTTCTTACGAAGACCAAAGCAATCATATGCCGTCCAAAATTAACTGAATCCATTGTCCTCTTGTTCAGACTCTCGGCTGCTGTTCTTGACGGCTGGGCAGAGTTCTTCCCACTTGAAACTTCTGCTTATCGCTCATGTCGAAGAACCGATGAGTATGCCTTGTTCACCGTGGGTAATGGCTCCAGAAGGAGAATGTTGCTACCGACAGTAGTGTAAGAGTCATTCAAACCCATGAGAAGCTTCATTGTTTTCTGAGTTTCCACATATGAAGCGATCACCTTCTTTGTTTAGCAGCGGCATGCCAGGATTGAGCATCGTACATCTCGTTCATCCCAAAGGCTTTTAAGCTTTGTTAAGTAAGAACTCACAATCATATTAGCTTGCACACAATCGTGGATTTCGTTCTCTATGTGAATGTCTTAACCAAGATATAAATTCATGTATTGCATGTTCAAGTTTTGTTATTTTTAAGGTTAATCATCCGTTGCATCATCTGTGATTCATGTTTGTTTCTCTCAACCTAAAACCATAACCTTGCTTCTCCAATTCTCTCTCGCACTGGAATTAAATCTCATATATAATATTAGTTTTATCTTTTGATTCACAGGTTCAATGAACACTTTTGTCAATGTAAATGAATCAATATTTCCTACTATTTTTTTGCATGTAAATACTCCAAAAGTTTGTTATCTTTTGTATAAGTATTGTTATCGATCTAATCTTTTTTGCATGTACATGATCTTTTGTATGTAAAAGTGTACCACACGTTTTCAATGCAAATATTAATATCTTTTGTAACATAATCTTTTATATCTTACAAACATTTTCTTCCATACGATTCTAATCCCACCAAAGCAATGCGTGGGAAAAATTTCCTTGTTACAAACTAAATAGAAAAGCAAACAACTAAAAATCAACTTACAATAATATCTTTCCTAACAATATTCACAGAAAAAAACAGTTGCTTGGAGAAGTCCCAATGAATTAAAGTTCTTACAAACGAGGCACGGTATCAAATCATTTACCAAGGAAAACATATCCCTGGTCCATTTCTGCAATCTCGGTATAGAAGCCACGCAGTTGAACTGAAGTGAAGAAGATGCCTGGAGCGACTGATAAAAATAAACAAGCACGGGTAAGTTCGAAGAAGACAATTGATCATAAAAACCAAATTAATCGTGATGAATCAATGAGAGAGAGATCACATACCGCAAATTACAGCTTATCTATTAAGCATCCGTTAATTTCCGCTTGATCAACACTACCCGCACATAAAGCCAATCATTTAGCGAATTCAAGAACTTGAAGTATGTGTACCTCCATCCCCATATGAATATCAGACTTCCACTAACTCCCCAAAATCCAACAAAAAACCCGAGCCCCATGCTGATGTACAATCCGTAGCGTGTAAGTTGATCATCTTTGTCTTCTTCGTTACTAACTTGATCTGGACCCATTTCTTCGATATCACACAGATTTTGAAGTGGAGGTCCACAGAGCTGTGGATTTCCAGCATAAACAGAGGGATCAAAACTTTGGAGCTGGGTGCCAGTTGGAATCTTTCCAACCAAGTTGTGTGACAAGTCCAAGACACCAAGACGACTTATCCGAGCAAGGCTTGTTGGAATTCTTCCGTCTATATGATTTCTTGACAAATCGAGTGAATCCAAGGACTCCAATTTTCCAATGTCTGGAGTAATTTGACCTGTAAGTTGGTTTCTAGAAAGGTTTAAAGAAACCAAGCCAACAAGACGACTGATTTCGTTCGGAATCTCCCCAGTCAATCTATTGCTTGAGAAATCAATACTTCTCACAAGCCCCAAAGTATTCCTGTAAACCCGCATGCTTTCTTTCCATATGAAGATTTCATCGTCCTCATAAAGATCCTCCCAGGATGATGGTTGATCAGCAATTCTCGAGTAAGCATGTTGGACGGTTAGAAATGAATTTCCTTTCTGAGCCAGAGTGGTCAACTTTTTTAGGCAGTTCGGTATTCCTCCAGATATGTTGTTCACAGAGACATCCAAAATTTGAATGTATATTAGATCACATAGTTGCGAGGGCAAGCTTCCATTGAAGTGATTAGAGGAAAGCATTAGGATAACCAAGTTCCGAAAGCTAGCCCCCAACCATTTAGGTATTGAACCCGACACTGGTTATCTGCAAGATCAAGGACCATTAAACTCTTGCAATTCTTCAAGGATAAAGGCAACTCTCCCACAAACTCATTGCTTCTTAATTTCAATGTTTCGATCCCAAACAAGGAGCCTATCGTGGTAGGAATTTTTCCCGAAAGAGTATTGGAACTCAAATCAAGCATGACGAGATTGCTATGTGTCAAGCATTCTGGAAGTTCTCCAGAGATATTGTTGTATGAGAGATTAAGAAAACGTAAACGCATAGCTACATTTGCACACAAGAAAGAAATCGACCCTGAAATGTTATTATTAGAGAGATCCAATTATGATGCTTGTGATAGAGTTGCGGGAATTTGACCTTCAATTTGGTTCGAACTCAAATGCACTTCAAGATAATTTGCAAAATTCACTGTCAAATTTGTAAACACTTCTCCAATTCGGTTATGGGAAAGAATGATAATTTCCACGTTACGAGTCATACCCCAAAACCAGCTTGGAAGGATATCCACAATTCCAGCATCAGAAATATCGAGGTATGAATACTCATTCTGAGATTGAAGCCATTTCGGAAAATACGGACCCATCTTGCAAGACCCCGAACTTATATAGTCCAGTTGGAAAAGAGGAGTCCAATTAGAATGGAAGTTTAAAACTAGTGAGTTAGAGGATAAATCTAATACCCTTAATTTGGAGAGTTTAGAGAAATGGGAATCTGAAATCACCCCTTCCAAAGCATTCATACCAAGGCCAATAGCCTGGAGCTTTGACATTTGCCAGATACTTTCAGGTATTCTTCCACTTAATTGATTGTAAGAAATATGTAATTCCTTCAACGATAAAAACTTGGTGAGATCAGGTAATGACCCTGCAAGTTGATTTTCATCGAGCCACAAATTCTCCAAGGAGTTTTGAGCACATGTAGACAATATTTGAACAAATTTGGAAAACTGTCCACTCAAATTGTTGCCGTTAAGAAGCAAGGATTGCAAACTACATAACCTAGAGAGAGAATGGGGTTCTGCTCCTTCAAGTTGGTTTTCAGAGAGATCAACATATGCAAGAGAGCTCATGTTCCCGAGAACATCAGGAATTGAACTGGAGAAGAAGGAAGATTACACCCATCTAATGTCAAGTTTGTTAGTTTGGGGAGTTTATTAACTGCTTCCGGCCAATAAAAAACATTACTGAGACTGGCTAAACTCAAGTCCAAATATGTCAACGAAGAAAGACAAGGGAGCCAATTGAGATTTTCTACATTACTGAAGTCATTGCCGCCGAGATCAAGGTGCTGCAAGTTGGTAAGGTTTCCAACCTGAATTGGAAATTTTCCACCAAAATTACACCAAGAAAGATCGAGATATCTCAAATTGGTTAGAGAACCAATGAAATATGGAACTTGGCTCCCAGTAAAGTTAATTCTCTGAAGGTCAAAATATTTCAAATGCTTCAACTCAATCAGTTTAGGACTAATCATCGTACCTTGCAACAAAGAACCAGAACCATGGTCGCTGAGATCAAGCTGAACAACATGACCAGTTTGGCTGTCACATGAGACTCCTTCCCCATCTGCAACAATCTTGTTTTGCGGTGTCTGTTCCCCACGAAGAGAATATTACTTGGCTGTACTCGTCCATGACGAGGCCTTGCTTGAATGCAAGGAGTGCTTCCCTTTCCTTCTCTGTGCACCTCATCGTCATGTTAGCATCGCTGTGGCCAAGGTTCACATGTAGGGTGATGATTAATAGCAAAAGCACCATAACTCCCCCCATCTTAAAAACAATAACAATCAAGATCAAGAGGCAGAAACACAACCAATCACACAAGTGTTGTAATAAAGATATGAAGCTAGCACCACAAAACATGCATAGATGCAGCACACAACACCCCTCAGATATAAATACAAGAGTGCACTGCCTTTGCCCCTGTTAAGTCTAGTTTTGAAAATTAAAAATATGGCGAAATTTTTTGTTCAACCGTGCAGGTGGGTCGAAATTTCGAATGGTGGTGGAGTTTTCCGGTGTGACTGTAACACGAGGTAGTACATCAAGTGCCATTATACAAATTGTGGGATATGTGTGTTAAAAAGTTATTAGCTTAAAAAATAAAATTTACCACCACTTATATAAAAACAAGTGATTTATCACTCGTATTCCAGTTATAATGAAAAAATTTTAATGGTGGTGATGTCGCAGAGGCTTTTCATATGTAATAAGCCTTTTGGCTTGACTTGTGTGGAAAATATCAGCCGTTAGAAACAGGTAGTGCGGCCAAAATAAATTTGAACTTTTTTCATTTGTTTTCTATGTGCAACGAAACCTCTTTAGACTTCTTTCTTTACTGGTGGGTTCTGTTAAACAAGGTTTTGTTTTTGCCAAACCGAAGTTACTATTTTGTTCGGTTTTTTAAATTCTTAGAAGGTAAATCGCAAGTAATTCGGTCTGGCATATTTCGGTTTGGTTTTGATTATTTTTTTTAACTTAAAAATTGGAGATAAAGGAAGAAAAAAAAAATCTAGAGATTTGGGAAAGATAATCCGATTTCAAGTTTCACAAATAACAAACAATCCTAAATTACATTTTAAGAGTTGTATTTAATGAAGGGTTTCTATCACAAATATCAGTGAAATTGACCCATCTTATCAAGATGATCCTTGAAATTGAAGATCAACCAATGTAATCTCTGAAAATGGGTATCGTAAATCCACGTGGTCCTTTTGTTAAAATTTTGTCAAAATTTTATTATGTATTGATGTGGCACATAATTAGGTCCCACAAGTTTAATTAGATATTACATAGGCGAATTTGAATTACATTATTGCTAGTCAAGGCTTAGCCCACTTTCCCACTCTTTTAGTGTAGATAATATCATTTTGTAAAAAAAAAAAAAATAGCACATACAATTTAAATAAAATCACCATTGAAATGATAATCATATTAAACATATGTAACTATGCAAGTAATATAGCAAGGTTTTTATCACATATTGTCTCTGAAATTGAAAATCGATCAATGTAATCCTTGAAAATGAGTGCCGCAAATTAATTTAGTCCTTATTGTGAGAGATCCGATCCGGATCTCTCCCATCGAAGCCCAGGATCAAGTGATCCGAACAATTGAAATTTGATCCAACGACTACAAACAGGGGATCCTTTTAACATTTATAATAATTGTAACCATTAGATCAAATTTCAATAATCCGAATCACTTAATCCTGGACCTTTGATGGGAGAGATCTAGACCGAATCTCTTCCTAGTCCTTACATTACAATTCTGTCAAAAAACACTATGATGTGCTCATGTGGCACATATCTGGATCCCATAAGTTTAATTAAATATTAATATATGGATTAAAATATTAAAGTAAAAAAATAAATTTTATTTGATATAATTATAAACTTAAAATAAAAAAATAAAAAAGAAGAAGCGAGGTACCGCGGAGAGGTAGACGGGAGAGCCATCGCCGACTCGCAAGGCGTAGCGGCCGGTCTTTAGGAATCAGGTGACGCAGCCGACGAGGAACTGGAGGCCGCCCTTTTGGGATCGGGAGACCAATTTGATGGTGGCTTGCCTGGGCAGCTGTGGTGGTGGTTGCAGCGGTTGATCTCATGGTGTCAAATTTCGAAATTTTTTAATTTTCCGGTTTGAAGGATTTGAAGGTGTTTGAATTTTGGAATGGTTCTGGACTGGGTAAGGTTTATAGAAGGAAGGGACGGTGCGACGGAGTGATTTGATTGGTAGAAGCCTAGAAGGGGATTCACGGGGAAGGAGCTGAACAGAGTTCATCTTTTTTTTTTTTTTTTTTAATTATATAAAAATAAAACTTTTTATTCAATTTTTGTTATTTAATGTGTATTTTTATTTAATCTCTCCACATTAAATTTTAATTTTATTAATATGCACATATTTAGTTCTTTAATTATAAATGAACATAAATGAGAAAATATTAAAAGAAATTTGTGGTACAAAAATGTATAAATACATAAGTGTACATAAATGACAATGTCGAAATATATAAAATTGATTATTTTGAATTAATGTACCGAAATGTTAATACCGAAATATATAAAATTGATTATTTTGAATTAATGTACCGAAATGTATGTACCAAAATGTACGTACCGAAATGTATGTACCGAAATATAGTATATTGAATTAATGTACCAAAAAGTCAATACCAAAATGTACGTACCAAAATGCATTATATTGAATTAGTGTACCTATATGTTTGTATCGATGGATATACCAAAATATTCAAATGTATTAATGTACCTAAATGAAGAACATACAAAATTGTTATCGGAATATATATTATAAAAAAAATTAGTTGCCTAAATGTAGACATTAAAATATATTATGATGAATGAAATGAAAATTAAATTTAAACGTAATTAATACATTAAAATAGGAATAAAAGATAAATAAAACATCAAAATATAACTAATAAATGAGATGATTAAATGTACTAGGTGTCGCATCCCGGCCCGGGGTGGATCATTTCCCGGGCCCGCTCCACCACCGTAGCACGATATTGTCCGCTTTGGGCCCCGACCATGTCCTCACGGTTTTGTTTCTGGGAACTCACACGAGAACTTCCCGATGGGTCACCCATCCTGGGAATGCTCTCGCGTGCTCCTCGCTTAACTTCGGAGTTCCGATGGAATCCGAAGCCAGTGAGCTCCCAAAAGGCCTCGTGCTAGGTAGAGATGAGAATATACATTTAAGGATCACTTCCCTGGGCGATGTGGAATGTTACACTAGGGACTAAAATTGGATGTTAATCTTGCACAAGGCTATTGTCTAAAACTCATATTTTTTAAGGATTAAAATGAAGTTTTCTATAAAATCTATATATTCAAGATTTATTATTCTTTTTCTGTACAAAAAAATAAATAAATAAAAGATTTATTTATTCATTTTAAATGCTGTTTGCCTTAGCCCTTTTTAGACCTAGCAATTTTTTACACAATTAGTTAGCACGATAAATAATAATTGATTTCAAATCAATAAAATAACTAATCGGGTCGTTATTGAATTACCCGTTAATGAGGTCGTTAACGGGTTTACATGTGGGTGACTCGTTTCAACCCATTAAGATAAAAAGTTAGTTTGATAATTTTAAACTACTAAAACCTTACTAGTTACTACAATAGCCATACTTAATATCACAAAAGTAAGCTTAAAATTTTTCAAGGCACTTTAAAAATACAAAGCAATTTAAAATGCCAAAGAACATTAAAAACTCGTAATAATTCATTTAGAAAATACTAATTTGGACAGCTTAAAGATTACGTAACGATCACTTAACACA